AAATGGAAGAGAGCCAAGGAGCCTAGCCTACAGCCAGAACTGAGGCTCTATATATGGGACCTGATGTCTGAGCCACCTCAGACATCCCTTGACCATTTGAATCATCCCAGCTGAGGTCACATACATTGCAGTGTACAGACAAGTCATTCTCTTTGTGTCTTGTCCTAATTTTTAGGCTTGAGAAAATAAAATGGTTTTTCTTTTACACCACTAAGTTTCAGGGAAGTTTATTATATAGAAATTAGTTATCAACGTTGAAACTGCTATGAGACCAAGTGGTAGGTAGACACCTGGAGAGAGGCAAGGACATTGTTAGTGAAAGCCAGAAATGCAGTGATGAAATATAGTTCAACTCAAGACTTGCTAGATTGGAAAATAACACCTAATCTTATTCTTGCCTTTCCAGGCAGCAAAAGATTCTCCAAGAAATAAGCAGTTTCAGGGCAAAGATTGAATCCAGGGTATACTATTACATGTGCTCTCAGGTTGAAGATCAAATCAAGTGTGTGGCAGGAAGGCCCTTCATTAAGAACTCTGAAAGATTTAAAGTGGTGCTGCATAGACCTTGCCAACTGGTCAAGGGGCTTCTACAAACATTATGGGCTTCTATGGCACCCTGACTTTCTAAAAAAGTAAAGTAGAGCTTGCCTCAAGGATTTCCCAGTTATGTCTTTTATCTAGCGGAGTGAGCAAATCTCAATACAATTCATAGGAAGCCCCCAAATTTTAAAGATTATTGAACTTAAAACCAAAAGCAGTTAAATAAAAGTGAGTATATAAAAGGTCTCTAAATAATTAACCTTCTAACGGCAGGAAGCTACCCCACTGCAAAGAATAGCAAAAATTATTTCTTACAGAAAAGAAAGAAGGAATGAAAAAAGGAGCCCGAAGTGCAAAAGATAAAGTTAAAAGCCACAGAGAATCATTCCTAGGGAACAAATTAAAACCTTAATCCGGAACACATCTTGCTTCCAGAGCAAGCACTTGGGGCATATGGCACCGTATTCAGACTTGCTATTGACTAATGACAGTTATATGCCTTCTATTGTCTTGTTTTGAAATGGTATTGTTTAATAAAATTGCCCTGTCTTTGTGGCAGCAGATAATCTTTTTAGTTATAGGTTTCTGCACTCAAGAAATAATTACTCTTCTCCCACTTTAGGAAAAAAATGCACTCAAGAAACTGCACCAGAGAAATATTATCCTCATCTGGAGATCCAATTTAGAGACGTAAAGTCTGAGTTTGATGCCATAATGCGATAAGCTATGGGGGATCCTGAAAGTCAATAATTAGTTAAAAAAGTAAAACTACTTGAGACCAACATGATGTAAAGTCCAAGTTAGCCATGTAGAGAGGTCTCATGAAGAGAGATAGATGTCTGGCCAGCCATGAGCTTTCCAGCTATCCTAGCTGATGTTCTAACATGTGAAGGAAGATGCCCTCTTAAATGTCTAATCCCCAGCAGCCTGGGAGGAGTCAAGCAGCTGAAAGTAGCCCAGATTGCAAGATCAGGACAAATAACAAATTATTGTTATTCAAGTCACTGAGTTCTGGGGATGTTGTTTTGTTTTGTTCTTGTTTTGTGGTGGTTCGTCCTTTTGATGCAGGGACAGATAACTGCAACACTGTGGCTGCTATGTTGAGAACAGGCTGGAGTGGAGATGAGGGGACAAGCATTAGGCACTTTTGCAATAATGGACAGCATGATAGCAACTTGAACCCAGGCAACAGCAATGAAAAGGGTGAGAAGAAATAGGACGTGGGGTATATTTCGAAGGCCTAGCTAAATGATTTGGTGGCAGATTTAATGTGGGGCATGACAAAAAGAGACGTTAAGGACAAATCCAAGATTGACTGATTATCTCTGGAACTAAGAGAATAAAATTGCCATCAAGTAAGATGAGGAAGAGGGTGGGCAAGCAGATATGGCAGTACAGGCAGGAATCCAGTGAGTATTAGACATTCAATCAAAGATGAATGAATAACAGATTAATAGACTGCTGAATAAATCTGGAGTTCAGGGGAGAGGTCATGGCTAGATTCACATGTACATTTGTGCATCATCAATGTAAGAAGAATTATAACCATAACATTAGATGAGATCACCAAGACAGAGAGTACAGATAGGGAAAAGTCTTGAGGACTGAGGCTCCTGTACTTACATGTTAGGGGAAACAATGAACCAGCCAAAGAGACTGAAATTGTTGCTGGTAAGGTAAAAGGAAAATAAGGAGAAGGCGATGGCTTGGAAGTCAGGGGAAGAACTCTCAGGTCCTGCTGAAAGGGTCCATAGGAAGGGACCCAAGAATTAACCACTGGATTTAGTAACAGGGATGTTGTTGGCACCTTCGGCAAGTGTATTTCTAGTGGAGCAGTGGGAATGACACACTGGCTGATTCAAGAGGAAATGGAGAAAGGACAATTGGAAACAGAGAATATAGTTGATTTTGTAAGTTTTCCTGTAAAATATGGATAGAAAAACCAGATAGAGGAGAAGCATAAGGAGAAAAACATGAGCCTGCTTAAAAAATGGCAGAAATTATAGCATGGTTACATGGTATTGGGAAAGACCCATAAGAGACAGAGAAAAAAATGGTGATGGAGAGAAAGAATGAATTACTAGAGTTACGTCCTTGAGCAGATAATGGGAATGAAACTATGATCCTGAATTAACTGTGATGGATTTCTAGCTGGTTTCCAGATCTCTAATTTATCTTTTCTTCAATAAATTCTACCTCAAACTAATTTCCCTAAAGTACTATTTTTATTGCAGTATTCCAACTTTGTTTTACTATATTACTTATATCTCCTGCCTCTTTTACCATTGTCTGCTTAGCTGTCAAACATTTGAATGATGACTGACTCTCACTGAAATCCATACAAATAGACTCTGACCAACCTTCTGCTAAGCACAAGAAGCACATTGTCCTTATAATGTATGTACAGAGACAGACACATATAAAATGAATTTACAGGCATAAAAGTTGCTATAGGAGAATGTAGACAGCACCAAATTAATTCATGTAAGGGAGAAAATAATTCTGCCTGGGCAGTAGGTGGGGACAGAAAACGTTATGGTGGGTTAGCATTTTGAGCAGGACCATGAAGACTGACAAAGAATAGCAAGTGTGTTTGGAACTCTGAGGCAGGGTGACTGGAGTTGAGGCTGGAAGAGAAGACTTCACTGCAGAGGCTTTCGAAGCCCTATTAGAGCGTATTTCCCAGTGGGAAATCTCTACAGAAGCCAGCACAAGCTCTTTTTTTTTTTTGAGATGGAGTTTCGCTCTTGTTACCCAGGCTGGAGTGCAATGGCGCGATCTCGGCTCACCGCAACCTCCGCCTCCTGGGTTCAGGCAATTCTCCTGCATCAGCCTCCTGAGTAGCTGGGATTACAGGCACGCGCCACCATGCCCAGCTAATTTTTTTGTATTTTTAATAGAGACGGGGTTTCACCGTGTTGACCAGGATGGTCTTGATCTGTTGACCTCGTGATCCACCCGCCTCGGCCTCCCAAAGTGCTGGGATTACAGGCTTGAGCCACCGCGCCCGGCCCAGCCCAAGCTCTTTACTGCTCCTCATCCCACCCCTGTACTTTGCTTTAAACACAGTAACCATAGTAATCCAGAAGCCAAAGGGAGGGTGTGGGACAGAAGGCTGAACTGTATATCCCAACTGAACAACACGCACCTCTGATGTATCCTACACCTTTTCCAGGGCTTTGTGGGCATAAGAGGTTGCTAAAGGAACCAATTTCAAGATCCATTACCTCCAGAGAAGACCCTTTTTACCAAAGATATGCCTGATATGTGCCCAAAGCAAGCAGATTTCTGGCAAGTTCTCCTTTCTCACTTCCTCTTTCATTCACCCTTCTCCCACTTTAGGAAAAAAAATGCCTGCGTCTCTCCATCCAGAATCTTAGCATGTGCCTTGCCTCACCAGGGTGCCAAATAAAGGGGCAATTTTATATAAGAGACATCTTTAAAGAAAGCATTCACATATCTACTTGCATGATATGTATTTCCAATATTGTTTTATTTTTATGCTTAATAATCACTTATCCAAAACTAATGATTCCTTTGATTAGTTTTGTAATGATAGTATTTTAAATAACATAAGCAAGAATTTTCACAATAAAAACCCTTCAATTAAAGAACCAAGTTTTATGTACTTATTTTTGTTGCAGATGAGTCAAGAGAGCAAATAACTCCAAAAAATGAAATATTTAACTGTAAAATGTTCAATTAAGAAATAATTATTTGATAATTTCAAAGGCCAGTGCTAACAGCGTGCGAAGACTACTTTGTCAAATTTCAATTAGAAGGCACGTGAGCAGAATACCCAGGAAGGAGAAGTATCATTCAGTGATAATAAGGGACCCGAGACCTCTCTGGGCTCCTTTTGTGTGTCATAATGATAAGCAGAGCTTACCCCCACCACCACCTCCATAAACCTTACAACCATCATATTGTCGTATTCTAGAACTATTTTCAGTTTCAATTCCCTCATTCCACAAAATAATTTGTCACTTTCCTAATCTTGTTTGCATCCTGTCAGCATTTGGAAGAACCATTAGCATTTAGAGAAGAAACGTGTGTATTACAAGCAGACTTGAAAAAAAATCCATTTTTATTCTGTCTACATTGAGTCCTCTGCCCCTGGAGTGGGCTGAAACACCATAAAACAAGTGCATACAAATACCCTAGCTCTAGATGTTAAATGTGTACAAATAATATTACTGAACTGAACTAAGATCAAAGAGCTTCTTTTTCTCCTCTAATTTTTTTTCAAAAAGGGCAATATTCTTTGATATGGGCAAAGTAATAAATAGTATTAAATCACAACAAATGGTGACGAGCATCTATTTCAAGACCAGGATAGCGACACTTTGTTTTTCATTATGCTGAACACCTGAGTTTTCCTAGAAAAGAATACATATGATATCTGAAAAGGAACATTAACATTGGAATCAAGATAAATCTCAGTAGAGTGCCTGTCTTACCTAGCTGTGTCTTAATGCAGGTGAAATACTGCATGCCATTTTTTTCTTTGTCAAGTCAGGATAAAAATGCAGTAGTTACTCAAATTCAATGAGGACATACAGATGAAGTGCCAATACGGTTCCTGAAACATAGCAGAGGCTTCCTTTTAGTAACTTTCGAATTCACATTGGGTTCCTACTGGAATGGCACTGCTAATAACAATAATTCAGGCTCTCTGTCAAAATTTCTTAGTTACTTATGTTTACCTAATCAACACAGTCTGGAAGCAGAGTAAAAAGTAGCCCTTGTGTCTGCCCATAGCTGTTAACAAATGGTACAATATATACATACACACACATGCATATATGCACATATACAGTATGTATACACATATATGCATTATGCACACATACATATACTTGATAGTATTTAATTAGTGAAATTCACCATCAAATAGATGTTAGTTAATGCATTCCAGTTCTCACTAAAATCACAATTTTTTTCGTCAACTCCCCCAGGGAATTTTTCCATCCAACCCATTCCTATAGGATAGCAGCAAGTATTTAAATATTGTTCAGTGTTGATAGTTTCATGCAGTTACTGTAATCACTGGGTAAGTAAATCAAAGAGCTAATACTGAGCTAAAGAAGTGGCTTCTTGCCAACCCTTCTATCATAACACCTTCTGAAAAGAGGACATCCCAAATGGTTACCTACATCATCTCTACTTGTGGTATTATGGGAAACTCTTCTCTGAGCTCTCCATGAATCCCAGCCTTCTAGTTGTATGGATAGATGAAGAGATACATAGACAGAGACAGATATCCAGATCAACCCGCATTGTCAAGCTCTTCCAGCAGAAAGTGATGCAACTTAGACAAATATTTTCATTCAGGGACGATTAAAAAATTTCTCCAGTGAACCAAACACATATAGCTAGTCAAATGAATATTGATTATAAAGATAATCTTTAAATATATAATAATTTTAATTGCACAAGTACCATAGAAACCGTCCTTTAAAACCAACGTTCTACCATTACCACATTGCCTGAAAATAAAGACTAATTATCACTGTCAAATCGTAGGAAATAATTTTATGCAAATAATATCATCCTCCTTAAATAACAGCAATCTTAAACTTGTCTGAGTTGGAATTCCAGCTCTGCCACTTTCTAGCTCTGTGACCTTGAGAAAGCTATTTAATTACTCTATACTTCAATTTCCTCAGCTGTAAAATATATTCCCTACCACATAAGATTATTATGATGATTTTTAAAAACACATTCTTAGAACAATGTCTGATACATAATAAGAACTCAACAATGTTAGGTATTATTCATACTGTTTCTCATAATTTTAGTTATGAGTATGAAGACAGAACTCTGTATTATCATTAGCTAACCTTCAGAAAAATAGTTAACACAATGAGCAGAACTCAACATTAAACTCCAGGAGAGGTTGGGGGAAAAGGACAGTAGTCTGTATTTTTAAAAGGTTAAAAACTGTTTTGGGTCAGAGACCCATTTTTAAAAGCTAATCCAATTTATGGATATTTTCCTGAGGAACATCCACATATACACAGCATTTCCGGGCTCCTTTTCTACCTATCCCGAAATCCATCAGAGTCACCAAATCTGAGAAGAAGCCTAGGAGATGAAGTACCTCCTAAGCTTTAAAACCCTCTACTTCCAAACTCTATTTTAATAAATTTTAAACCATTGTTTTTCTCCATCCCCCAAAGAAATTTATAAATATATATTTCATTGAAAACACTGTATCTTGCAATATAGCGGTTGACATTTGCAACATTAATTTCATGGATTAAAACAAAAGAGCATCATTTTAATCACCGGTAGCCTGCAGGAAAATTCCAACCAGAACTATAGCTTCCAGGAAAATTCCAACCAAAACTATAGCTTCCAGTCATATTCTGGAGTTGCCATTCCAAATCAGCAGGGAACAGTGAAACTAAAAGTATGGGAACACCCAGCCTATCAGAAGCTCCAGACCAATGGCCAACTGACCCTTCTCTGTCACTGTTGCAAAGCAGGTGCTACTTCAGGAGATGGTCATCTGATTGACTAAAAGACTGTGAGAAAACAGAAACATACTGACATGAAACTAAGACAATCATAACATACCTTAAGAACTCTAATATTTCTTAACTTTAAGTAAATTAGCTTTTTGTTCACTTTTTAAATCTAAATGGCTTGTGCTGTGTTTTCAGTCCTTCCCTTTATATGTCTTTATGTTCCTTCCTTTGTATCTCCTTCCTCTGTTGACCACATTATTTAACACAAAAGCAACAGGAGTTTAAAATTTAACCTGTATATATATATATATATATATATATATATATATATATATATATATATATATATTTTGACAGGCTGGAGTGCAGTGGCAGATCATAGTTCACTGTAACCTGGAACTCCTGGTCTCAAGCTATCCTCCCGTCTCAGCCTTCCAAAAGTGTATTGCATCTTGATGCTTTCAATTGAATGGTTCACTTTGCAGCCTCTACATGGCAGGATGCATAATCACCAGTTTACTCTGTAGTATACTGGAGGAAGAATTCAGTCTAGCTAGTATGGCCTCTTTCGCCACACTAACAAGATGAGGATGACTGCCGCTTAGCCACTACCAGTATCATAATATTATGAAGTAGTTTAAAGATATATAATGGAAATTAGCTGGTGACCACTACTTTATTTCGTTTTGAAATTGCTGACACATCCTATTTAAGAATCTATTGTAAGCATCATTTAAGAATTAGTTCGGTTTACACATACTTTGAAGTCAACATAGTTTTTAATGCGTGGAATTACATAAAATCAAATGAAGTGTATACCCTTGCAACGTGCAGTCTTAATAACATTTGAAAAAACTGGCTGGACTTTCATTTAAAGCCACCTTGAATAATGATATTATTTCAGTGGAATTCGCTCGTATTTTTTCCAAATTGCTTTGGCATTCCAGACACCCTACTGGTTCTCTAAGAGATAACTGGCTTGCGCAGAGTTGGAACCAATAGGGACGAGGCCTGACTGTCAAGCAGTGATCATTCCTGCAAATTTTTCTTCCAGAAGACGCGTGCAGGCAAAGAAGAGGGCGATAATTCGATTTTGCAAAGGTAGGAATAGACGCGCACGCAGACATCTGCACCGGCCGGCCCACAGGGAGTTTGAGAGGGGACAGATAGGAAGCGGGGACGTGAAGTACCTTTTCTTGTCGTTTCTGAGCTTGACTGGGTGCAGAACTCAGCCCTCAGGGCTGCAGGACCGCGTCTTCTCAGAAAGCGGCAGTTTGGCTGGGGCAGCCTGACGCGCGCCCCTCACCCTCCCAGCGGAGCGCAGGGTGCCCGGCCTGCCTTGCGCTCGCCAGCAGTCACGAACTCCGAAAGAGTGCAGCGCAGTGGGGAGCTGCACGCCAGGGGCAAAGGGACCGGCGATCTGCGCTCCTCTGGAAGCAGGAGGATGGCGAGGAGAGTCTCGGCGAGGAGTAAAGTGTCATTAGGGGAAAAATCAAAAATTGTAGTTGCGGCTAAGTTTTCCCCGTGAGAGGGCGGGGCGGCCAGGCCAGTCGGGTAGACCAGAGGGTAGCGCCGGAGCTGGGAGGGGCCCAGGGCGTAGGCTTTCGGGGAAAATTCCATTGTCCTTTTAACCACCACCACTCCCCTCCCAAAGCAGAGAAGCCGAGCTCTGTACCTCCATCGAGTCCTGGCTGCAGGGTGTGGGGGGGCGACAGCCACCGCAGCCGAGCGGGAGCGGGCGCCGGACTTCGAAGGCAGTGAACGAGTCAGCTGGGATTCCCCCGGGCACCTTCCACCCGGAGTCCCAACCTCCGGCGAAATGAAAAGTGAAAGAGAAAGAGCCGGGAGCACAGGCAAAGATAAACACTACCCGAGGAGATTGGGGGCGGGGCAGGTGGCGGCAGCTCCTGGATGGCTGATTGCCCCAGGTGTCACTGCTCCCCCGCCTGTTTCGGTCCCTGCCAGGCCCAGGGGCACAGAACATGCTGGGCGAGCTCGAGGACGTCGAGGAGCACCGACCCCGCCTTGCAGGAACACAAGCCTCTGGCCTCCTCCTCTACCTGCTGGGACACCTGCAGAGAAGGCACAGGGAGATTGGACGGAGCCCATCAGCGGCATCCCAAGCTCTGGGCACCAGGTGGGAAGCTTCCGCAGAAGAGCCTGGAGACCAGGGTTGGGCTGGCGCCCATTCAGGTCTCCCAGAGGAAAAGGAAAAGGTTCTTCTTGGAGCCGGATGCTAGGCGGCTACTCTAGATAGGCCTCTTGACCCCTGCACAGACTGGAAGAAGGAAGATTTGAAGTCCTACCAGAGGAAACGTTGGAAGAAAACACAGGGTGGCAGCTTTGTGCAAGACAGTTGGTACAGAGAGTGAACTTATAGCAATGAGCCTCTCTGCGGATCACTTTTCTAGTCTGTTGTGTAGTCTAGTGTAAAATATCACACATGGTCCCATTTGATGGAACCGTGAAATGTTCTTGCAGTACTTTTTTTTTTCCTTGGGACGGAGTTTAGCTCTTGTTACCCAGGCTGGAGTGCAATGGCGGCTCGGCTCAGCAACCTCCGCCTCCTGGATTCAGGCAATTCTCCTGCCTCAGCCTCCTGAGTAGCTGGGATTCCAGGCACGCGCCACCATGCCCAGCTAATTTTTTGTATTTTTAGTAGAGACGGGGTTTCACCATGTTGACCAGGATGGTCTCGATCTCTTGACCATGTGATCCGCCCGCCTTGGACTCCCAAAGTGCTGCGATTACAGGTTTGAGCCACCGCGCCCGGCCTCTTGCAGTACTTTTTACATTTGGGGAAGAAACTGAGTTCTTTGAGGCTGAGTGATCTGCCTGCCAGAAAGCCAGTAGCAAAGGCCTCACGCTCAGTTTTGAAAGAGAACCTTGCACTCTGTGACTCACTGAAAATTCCTACTGTACGGTGCTTTCCAAACTTTCAGAGTCATTGCTCAGAGAAAAAGATGATGTCTTTCTGGAGCTAAGTTTTTTTTTTTTTTTTTTTTTTTGAGACACAGTCTCGTTGTCGCCAGGCGCCAGGCTGGAGTGCAGTGGCGCGATCTCGGCTCACTGCAGCCTCTGCCTCCCAGGTTCAAGCAATTCTCCTGCCTCAGCCTCCCGAGTAGTGGAGCTCAGTTTTATTTAGTTTAAAATTTAAGTATGTTTTCTTTGTATTACATAAACATGATAAATATCAAATAGAAAAATAACAGAAATTATTTAATTTACAAGTTCATAAACTTCCACATATCATTTCATATTTTTTTATGAAAAGTTTGAGTTTGTTTTCATTAACTCAATTTTTTGATATCACTTTTATATTTGAAATAATTACTGATGAACTTCTGGATGAGATTTACTTCAAACTCTAGATAGTCTCCTTCAACAAAATAAGTGAGGTACAAACATGCAAAAACCATTTTTACAACCATTCAAAATTTCGCCATAGTTTGAAATTATATTTAAGAATATGAAACAATCATCCATTTCTGTTCATGGCAATGTCATGTTGAATTTTCTTGTGATAGTGTCAATGAATTTCAAGACCAGTCAGATTTTTCGTAGCACTGATTTGAAGCTCTGATTTGCAAAATGAGCATGCATTGGAAGAGCAAGACTGCAGCTGGATTGGATCGCATACAAGGATATTGCAGCCACAGAAGGACTGATATGCATATGTGTGAAGACAGAGAATACGGATCAACATGTGGAACATGCTCCCAGCCTCATTTTGGACCGCTGCAGAGCTTCTTGGCCTCCTGCAATGTAAACTCCTCTAGCGCCTCCTTCAGCTCCCTTATGGACAGTGTTCTCTGCAGCCGGTGAAGGAAGCAGGTGTTCAGACAATAAAAAACTTCAGAGGCCACACTTAGCACCACCTAACAGAGCTCAGTATCAGATATCACTGTTGCCACAGGAGAATCATCACATCTCAGATCCTCTCTCTCTTGGGTTGCCCACGAAGTCTATAGAAAGTTGTTCTCAACTGGTGCTCACGGGCCTGTGGGCTTCAGCTTTGTTAGCTGTCCCACAGCTAACAAAGGACTGAGGGACATTAGTATCTGACTGCATACTTTGAATATGTTGAGGCCACCAAGAATGTTCTGAGCTATTAGAGAGTTTGCACAACACTATGAAATTGATGGGAAGTTTATTTGTAGGGTGAATGTTAAGGCATAATCTGAGTATATAAATTAAGAAAATTGGTCTACAACTATTTATTGTGCTTCAAATATAGTAGGCTCTAGAATAACATGGACTGAATGATATATAAAGCATTTTGTCAGAGTAGGGAGATAAAAATCATAAATGACAACAAAGTACAATTAAAATTATTATAGCCATAAGAGATCCTTTGCTCTACTATTTGCCTCCCAAATATGTAGGTCAATTTTTTTTCATAAATACAGATATTTTAACAGTATTTTAATTAGTTATGTGTGCCTGCAGTTCAATGAAGTTGGGTTTGCAGCATAATTTTTTTTTTTTTTGCATTGCACTCAAACAGAAAAGTCTAATGTATGTAACTTGTGTTTTCAGTTGCCACAGGCTGTTTGGCAAAATATTGAAAATTACTCATACCAATGAACAAGTAAATTCCACTACATAAATTAAAAGCAAAGATGAAGATTGATGAAATAATTTGAAACTGCCTTAAGATAACTAATAAAATTACAATGTAGAAATAAGTAAAAATTAACTAAACCTCATAGAAGTTACCATAATAATCTCCTTGAATTCAAGTAATTAACAATAAAATTATAGTTTAATAAATGTTTAATATCTATTTTTTTCAAAGACAAGGTCAATTGGGCAATTGTCTTTAAAATAAATTGCTAATCAAAGTTTTCTAGCTTTTGCAATTACATGGAAGAAGCTGCAACTTACTTAATCTGACTTAGCATTCAAAGTCCATGACTGTTGCCCTATTTATGGTTTTCTTAAGATTTAAACCACCCATCAAGAACAAGTTGATCCCTTGCTTTTTGGAAAACATGGCCTGCCTGAGTCACCTACATTACCATTTGGGTAAAGTGTGCTGAAATGCAACATTACTTCAAAGTTGCTTCTCACAATCTCGGCTCACTGCAACCTCCGCCTCCCACGTTCAAGTGATTCTCCTGCCTCAGCCTCCTGAGTAGCTGGTGTTACAGGCAGGTGACACCATATCCAGCTGCTCTTTGTATTTTTAGTAGAGATGGGGTTTCCCCATGTTGGTCAGGCTGGTCTTGAACTCCTGACTGTGATCGGCCCAACTCCACCTCCCAAAGTGCTGGAATTACAGCCATGAGCCACCATGCCTGATGCAGACTGGGTAATTTATAAAGAAGAGAAGTTTAACTGAATGCACAGACAGAAGTCACCTAGGGCCAAACCACACACTCTACCAGAGAGTGTGATAGTCTGTTTTCATTTCCGTAAAGGAATACCTGAGACTGGGTAATTTATAAAGAAAGGAAGTTTAACCATCTCATAGGTCTGCAGTTCTGCAGGCTGTATAGGAAGCATGGCAAAGGCCTCTACTTTGCTCTTGGGAGGCCTCAGGGAGCGTTTACTCATGGGAGAAGGTGAAGTGGGAGCAGGAATGTCACATGGTGGGAGAGCAGAACCAAGAGTGCGGGAGGGGGTGGTGCCAGGCTCTTTAGACAACCAGATCTCACAGGAACTCAGAAGAACTCACTTATTACCATGGGGAGGGCACCAAGGCATTCATGAGGGATCTGCCCACATGGCCCAAAGGTTTCCCTGTGACTTTCATGACTTCGCACCAGGACCCACCTCCAACACTGGGGATTACATTTCAACATGAGACTCAAAAGGGACAAAAAGCCAAACCATATCAGAGAGATATAGGAACAAAACTCTATTTCAGTTAGCTTCCCAAATAGCTATGGGTTTTATCTACACCTCATGGACACAAAACATGTGAATAGGTTAGAATGGGACCATATTGAATGTCATCAATAATGGCCAATTTAAAGATTATATATAAAAATGCCTTCATGAAAAGGGCATGATAATAACTACAACTTCCTATTCTTTTTCTATTGTAAGTAATATTCTTGCTCTTTCCAGTATATATTTCATTTATTCTACCTGTAACATATCATTCAGGTTACAAACTTACTATCTGTTTAACACATCTAATGAATTTTGCCATACCACATAAATTACTCACTTTAGCATTGTTTACATTTAACATACATCCTATAATTTTTTGCTAAATATTCTTTAATTATATAGCAGAGTCATATTATGGTAGTTCTTTGTGATGACTTATCTATTCGAGACGTGCTTTTTGGCTCTGTCATTTTTATAAGTTTTTGTTCTGCATCAAGCTTGATGTCCTCAACCAAAAAGTCTCCTGACCTGCAGCATCATGTCTGCTCTGATACTGAAATTTTCTCCTTCACACTTATGCCACTCCCTCTGATGTGACCCCATCTTAGATCTCAATAACTCCCTGAAAGGAAATCAAATCTGCTCTAACCTGTGGGGGAATACAGATTGTGTATATACACAGACTCAATCCTGAGCCAATTCTGTACTCATACTTTATATTCCAAGCATGCCTTATACCCTAAACGTAAGCAATTATTATGCTTAATAATTTCTTAAAGTGTGTTCTGGTAAGTTTCCAAGATAAATAATAAGCTTTTATCTAAATAAACAATAGACCAAAGAAGAAACCACAGAAGAAACTATAAAATACTTTGAACTGAATGATAATAAAAGTGAACCGTATCAATATTTTGGTGATACAGCTAACCGCTTTCAGAAATTTATAGTTATAAATACTCATATTACAAACAAAAAGATCAAAATCAATAGAATAAGCTTCTACCTTTAGAAATAAAAA